ACCTTGAGGAAATTATTTAACCCCTTTGAAAAAGAAATTAATTAAACCACCAACCCCCCAAATCCCTCCCCCCCTCCCCCCACCATTTTTAATATCCCCTTTAAAATTCGGGGTCAGCCATTTTATATAAATATCTTAAACACACTTTATAAATATCATTCATCCCTCCTTACAAAGAGAAACCAAAAACCAAAAACAAAAAAAATCCCAAAAGCCTCGTGCCACACCCTTACCCAGAAAACATTGCAGGCTACGCTGAAAAAACTTATTCAAAAATCATAATCCAACTAATTAAAAGAAAAGACGCCCATTAATGTATATCTATTTCCTTCAAGTGTATTTTTTGTTTTGTTTTTGGGTCGTCTTAATGTCACTAGTCTAGCAGCCGAAGTAAATTGTTCTCATGGGATAGACCTATTGATGCTTGATTTTGACATCAACTACTCGCACGTGAGAAATGCTAAGCGGGCTCAAAAGTCACACGTGATTATGGAAGTATTTAGTTGGATAAAGAGTGAAGAACAATGTTTAAAGTGGTTCGGATGCTCATAAAGCGAATCCTACGTCCACTGATATTGTATTAACGAGTAAAGTCAGGTCGCATTCAGCGAGTTGAATTACAACTTAGAAATTACAAGAGAGAGAGAGAGAGAGAGAGAGAGAGAGAGAGAGAGAGAGAGAGAGAGAGTAAGCTATTCCAGAGTGAAATTAGCCAATCCCACTAATGGGAGAGGAGTCCTTTATTTATAGTAGGATGAATTAAGGTAATGATTACTAAATCTGGGAGTGGGGTAGATGTCGTGCAAATCCTTCTCTGCGTCCCATTGCTCACCTGCCCGAGTGATTTTCTCGACTTGTGCAGGGATTGGACACGTGGACCATTTCTAACCATTCGCTAACTCACGTCATCTCACAATATGGCTGCACTTGAGCGGTTGTAGAACTTTCTTAAGTTTTGACCACCCATGCTGACAAGACTCCACGTCAACCCTTCTTTTCTAGGCATAACAGAAGTCCCCTAGTTTTTAAGGTTTGAGAATCGAACCTTGAGAATTACACAATTATCCCTTGATTTGATAAGTTCCGAATGATGCCTGATCGGATTGACCTGATAGCGAGGAGGTCGCAAGACATTTCCATATAGGCTACCTGAAATGGTTTCCTTTCGCAAGGTCTACGACCTAGACCAGACCTTATTCAGTGCTGTATTGATGAGCCTTTTATCTTGACCGAGGTCCGCGACCTGGTTATACTTAGCGTATTTTTTGATGAAGCCAAGGAGTCACATCGCTTTGCAACCGACATGCAACGAAGGATGTTTTATCTAACGACCTCTTCAGATGTTATCCATTGCGTTTTGGCAGCTAATACATTAATGAAATACCTTTTGCTTTGACAGACATGTCCTATGTGCAATAAGTACCAGGCATGTGCATTAAATGTAAGCCATGCTGAAATGACATTCCTTATCAGAACATTAAATGTGGATCAGAGCGCATTTATGTGGAAGAGGGAAATGAGTCGTCGCTCGATTATTTCAACGGAGGAAAGTGGCGATTTGATTTCTTGAAGCATGATGGTTACTCATTTCCATTGATCGATGACACGTGGTCGCGATCAATGGCTATAGATGATTTCCGTTCAAACGTCGCTTGGCTTCAGGAAAATCAAGCACCACTTCCTTCACTATAAAATCTCAGGCTCTCCTCAAGCAATGTCACAATATTCACTTTTCCAGAAAGAGCAAGAAGCTGTCATGAGACCAGATTTTCCATCTTTTAGATTGGTGCGCATTTGACGTTCTCAGCAAGAAGTTCAATCGTCATACTCAATAGGTAAGGATGATTCTTTTATTACTTTCCTTTCTTCTGTTTTGACGATAACCATGCGACAACGGTGGGCGCTTGTGGGTGGTTGATCGAAGAATAAGCTTTTTTCTAGGGTTTGAGTCTTTGGGAGTGGTCCCCAAGGACTCTTAGGGTTTAAGGAAGACACTGTTTGTTTGTTCTCCCATGTCATCGTACAAAACTTAGTACGACGATTGAGTAATTCCTGCATGTCACTCTTTTTCAGATTAGAGAAGAAATGGACTCTTCAGCGACCCGAATAGACAAGGGAACGAGCTTGCCAGTGCAGGACCCCCTAGCAGGCCCCTCACAGGAAATCCTGTCAATTGCCATAGGAGAAGAAATCCAAAAAGCGGTAGACCAATACGCGATTAGCGTAGATGTTTAAAAGCATAGGATGTATACAGCTTAGAATCTGCCAGAGGGAATGGCTGCGATCTCTGAGAACATTTTCAAATGCGGAGCATTGATTCCCTTTCATTTTTTCATAAGGTCGGTCCTTGATCACTTCAGGGTCGCTCCTTTACAACTGACGCCAAATGCATATATGATAGTCGTGGCAATGTATATTGTATGCGGCGAGAACGGTCTTAGCAAGTTGACCGCGCTAGAGCTCGGTTGCTTGTATTACTTGAAGAAGAGTAAAGACAATGACTCTTTTTACCCCTCGAAGCGATCTTCGATCGAGGGAGGGATACATAGTTACCCCAGCAACGTCGGGACGTATGAGACGAAATTTTTCCTTTTTTATTACATGGCATTTGCCAATTTAATGAGTCGAGTAGGTCTTCCTTTCTTTTACTTGGCAAATTTTCCTTCTTTTAATCTTTGCTAATGAACTTTTTGTTTCTTCACAGTAAACAAGCCAACCAGGTTGTCGGCTCTCGTTGACTTCAACAAAATAACAAATTTTGGTCTTCTGCCCGAATAGAGTTGTGACGTGAGGCTGCTCGTGACAACCACGAACCTATGGAATTATGGCTTTTTCAGCCCCGAAGCGACCTTAAAACCCTTACTGAGTAAGTATCGGTAACCTTAGCCAACTTTGTTATTTTTATGCAGCGAATTGTTTTACTAATGATGTTCGCATGCAGCAACCATGCCACCGAAGGTGCCCAAGTCACTGAGAGCTAGGCAATTCACCTTCCCTCGGGTTGATGTAACAAGACCAATTGGGGCGACCCCTAGCAGTCCCCTAGTCGGAGGGACACCGGTGGGGGCGCCAGTTCGATTAGTAGGTGCTCCTTAACCTACAGCTGTCGTCCCAAGCAGAAGATGATGGCCCAGAAATCTAAGAAGAAGAAGAAGAAATTGGGGTCAAGGAGTCAGAGTCAGAGTCCGAGTCCGAGTCCGAGTTGAAAGGTTTGGGCATTTAGCTTGGGAGGTCATAACCTTACCAGACCTTTCACTCGGAGGGCCTCCCAGGGGCATGACCAACATTACCATTACCCTTGGAGATCTACAGAGGAGGTAAAGGGAGGTTACAGATCTCGGGAAGAGAGCAGGCACGAGACGCTACCTGCTGCGGGTACTGGCACGCCCGTGCTGGACTCTATAGGGTAAATCCTGGAACATTTGCAGCCGGTGATGTTTTCCCTGCTAGAGTGCCAGCTCATAGAGGCATTTGAGCAGTTCGTGGCCTCTAACCCCGTGGACTTGATGACCATGGCGTTTCAACATCAAAGCCAGGTAAAAGGGTTTGTCCTCATTGAGGACTTTCTTTCATTTCCTTACCACTCAGTTGGGGACTGTTGAGGGGCTTGTCGAGCTGAGAGAAGAGAATGTGCAGCTGAAACTAGACTTAGAAGCCGCATAGTCAGAGAAGAACCTATCCACCATTCAAGCAAACCAATATCTGTCTGAGAGGAACGCTGTGCTTCGTACGGTGGATTTCTAGAAGGCCAAGTTGGAGAAGAGGGGAGAAGAGGTTAAAGAGCTCCAAAGGAAAGTGGCCAGACTCACCAAAGAGGCTGGCAAGAAAAAGCTTGAGCTACGTACGAACTCCAAGCAGGCCTTGCGAGCAGAGCAGGACAGAGTGCAGTTATGAGAAGCCACCGAGAAGCAGAGGTGGGCACTTGAGGCAAAACTCCAATTGTCCCAAGGTCGTGTTGCTTTGCTAACCGAAGAGATGAAGCGTCAAAAGCTGTAGATTGAGAGGAGAATTACCGACGGGTCGATCCAGTCCATCTATGCCCTTCGGCCAAGGAATCCCAACATAGACCTCACCAACCTCCGGGATGATTACCAGAGGATCCTCACTTCTATGGTGCAGGTTGAGGATGAGGAGGAAGGTTAAGGGCCTGATCCAGAGGATGAGCATCCGAAGGAGTACGTCCTAGAGGAACCAGCGGCCGACCAAATGATTGGCAACTAACCCGGAGATACCGAGGTTGCACCTCCGAGGTCTAGGGATGAAGGCCAGTGATGGCTTCTTCTTTTTATTACTGTTTCTGTGCTCGCAAATATGTACTTGCCATTTTTAACTTTCAATAAATAAAGAGATCATTTTCCTTAATCATTCGTGGGTACTTATAATTTTCCATACCTTACAAGCGTTACACATGTGGACACGAGGTCGCTTTCTAACTATTTAGAATAGTGTTTGTACAAATAATATTTATGCGAACAGAAGGGCACACATTCGGGAAATGATATTACACAAAAGCTTATCTTATTTACAAAGCTTTAAAAAGGTAAGTCTTTACAAGAAAATTAGAAAATGAGTTCGGAATTACTAATTATAGGGGCGAAGGTGTTCAGCACTCCAAGCTTGTGGTACTTCGGAATCATTCAGCCTTCTAAGGTGATAAGTCCCTGGTCTTATCACTTTAGCAATACGGTATAGACATTCCCAATTCGGCCCCAATATCTCGCACTTGGTTCTCTTGTACAAAGAAGAACTTCTTTCAGAGCAAGGTCGCCGACCTAGAAGTCTATTTTTCTAACCTTAGAGTCAAAGAACCTCTTTGCGTGCTGTTGGTAGGCTGCTATCCTTAGCTGAGCCTTGCTGCGATTAGGTTAAGGTTATTCCCATTCTCATTGGGGGATAAAGCTAAGGGGTGGTTAATGGCACTACCAGCGGGGACTATCACAACTTAGAATGATCTAGCACAGAAGTTCTTGACTAAGTTCTTTCCTCCAGCAAAATCAGCAAAACTGAGAAATGATATCACATCTTTTCTACAAGAGGAATCTGAGTCATTGTATGAGGCTTAGGAGAGGTACAAGGAATTGATGAGGAAATATCCAAACGATGGGTTGCCAGTTTGGCTTCAAGTCCAAACTTTCTACAATGGACTGATGGGTAACGTGCAAACCATGGTGGATGCAGCATCGGGAGGAGCTTTGCAGAATAAGACACCAGAGGAGGCTTATGAGTTGCTTGAGGTTTTGGCAAGCAACAACTATCAAAGACCAAATAAGAGAGCAATACCTAGAAAATTCGCAGGTCTTCATGAAGTTGATGCTTTCACAGCCATCTCAGCCCAACTCATGGTACTTTAGAAACAGTTGGGAAGTATGCAGGTAAACTCCATTCAAGCACCTCAACTAACTTTTGATTTTTGTGCAGGAAATCATGTGAGCAGCGAGTGTCAAGTGGGGAACACATTTGCTTCGTCATCTTCATTAACGGAGCAAGTGAACTACTTGGCAAGAAATCAGAGGCAACCAAACAACCGTACTTCAACACATACAATCCGGGGTGGAGAAATCATCCAAATCTAGCTTGGGGCAATCAGAACCAGCAAAATAATCAATGGAACCAAAGGACGGTGCCGAATAACCAACCAGGGGTGAATAATCAACCGGGAGATCCAAGAGTGACAAAGTTGGAAGACATGTTTGGGAAATTTATGTAGGAGACCATGGGATTTATGAATGAGACGAGGACGAATTTCAAAAATCAAGGGGCGTCCATTCGGAATCTTGAGGTACAGATGGGCCAATTGGCCGAGAAACTAAATAAGAGACCCCAGGGTTCCTTACCAAGCAATACAGTCATTAACCCATGTGAGCAAGCAAATGCCATAATTTTGAGGAGTGGGACAGTTTTAGAAGAGGTTGAACAAGCCAGAATGAAAGAATCTGACAAGGAAGAATCTGAAGAGGAAGTTGATGAAGAGATTGTAGTTGATGAAAAACCAAGCAGTTTGGAGGAAGAGAACAAGAAGAAGGATGAAAGGCAAAAGAGGAAGGAGAAATTGCCATTCCCCGAGATACCACAAGAGTTAGCACATCACACTCCACCCGTGCCTTTTCCTCAAAGACTGAAGAAGAAAAATCAGGATAAGCAGTTTTTAAATTTTATTGAAATTTTTAAAAAATTGCATATTAACATTCCTTTTGCAGATGCATTGCAGCAGATGCTGAGCTATGCGAAGTTCCTTAAGGAAATCCTTTCAAACAAAAAGAAGTTAGAAGATGAGGAAACGGTAATGAATACGGAGGAGTGCAGTGCCATTCTCCAGAATAAGTTACCCCCGAAGCTCAAAGATCCAGGGAGTTTTACTATTCCTTGCACTATAGGAGATATTATGTTTGATCATGTTTTATGTGATTTAGGAGCTAGTATTAATTTAATGCCCTTTTCTGTTTTCAGGAGATTGGGAATTGGTGAAGTGAAGCCAACTATTATGTCGTTGCAATTAGCGGATAGGTCCATAAAACATCCGAGGGGGATAGTGGAGGATGTGTTAGTGAAGGTGGATAAGATAATTTTTCCAGCTGATTTTGTGGTTCTAGATATGGAAGAGGATAAGGAAATTCCTCTCATTTTGGGCTGACCATTCTTGGCCACAGGGAGAGCACTAATAGATGTGCAAGAAGGAAAGCTACTGTTGAGAGTTCAAGATGAAACAGTAACTTTCAATGTCTTTGAGGCGATGAAGTTTCTTTCAGAATCAGATTCATGCTTTAGTGTCGATGTGGTGGATAAATTGGTTGTAGAATATATTGAACAAAACACCCCACAATTACCTCTAGAAGCATGTATAGCCAAATCCAAAACAATAGAGATAGGTGATTCGGCGAGTAATGAATGTGCTAGGTTGTTAGAAGCACTTCAACCAATTGATGAGAGTTAGGATGTACAATTTGAGGAGTTTGATTTTGAAAAAGAGAAGGAAAAGAAAAAGAAAAAAAATAAAGAACCTCCAAAGCTTAAGTTGAAACCTTTACCTTCCCACCTCAAATATGTATATCTTGGGGACTCAGAAACCTTCCCAGTGATCATTAGTTCAGGATTGAGTAAATTAGAGGAAGAGCGGTTGATTAGGGTGTTGAGGGAATATAGACTAGCAATTGGATGGACGATTTCAGACATTAGAGGCATCTCACCATAATTTTGCATGCATAAGATACTCATGGAGGATGATATTAAGCCTAGGGTGCAACCACAACGAAGATTGAATCCTTTGATGAAGGAAGTGGTGAGAAAGGAGGTGGTGAAACTCTTAGATGCAGGGATTATCTATCATATTTCCGATAGTCCATGGGTGAGCCCGGTATAAGTGGTCTCGAAGAAGGGAGGTATCACGGTAGTAAGGAATGAGAGTAATGAATTTATACCAACTAGGATGGTGATGGGCTGGAGAGTGTGCATTGATTACCAGAAATTGAATGAGGTGACTAGGAAGGATCATTTTCCACTACCTTTCATCGATCAGATGTTGGAAAGGTTGGCAGGACATGCTTATTACTGTTTCCTAGATGTGTATTCAGGATATAACCAGATTGCCATCGCTCTTGAGGATCAAGAGAAAACGAACTTTACTTGCCCTATGGCACCTTTGCTTACCGAAGGATGCCTTTGGTTTATGCAATACACCAGCTACATTTCAGAGATGCATGATGTCAATCTTTGGAGACATGGTGGAATGGTTCATAGAAGTCTTCATGGATGACTTCTCAGTTTTTGGTTCGTCTTTTGACAGTTGTCTAACTAATCTTTCTCTTGTTTTGCAACGATGTAAGGAGACGAACGTGGTGCTCAATTGGGAGAAGTGTCATTTCATGGTCCAGAAGGGAATAGTGCTCGGCCATAGGATTTCAAAGGATGAAATAGAAGTTAATCAAGCAAAGACAGAAGTGATTGAGAAGCTGCCACCACCATCGAATGTCAAAGTGGTCCAAAGTTTCTTGGGACATGCGGGGTTTTACAGACAGTTCATCAAGGATTTTTCTAAGATTTCTAAACCCCTTTGCAATTTATTGAATAAAGATGCTGTGTTTGATTTCAATGATGAATGCATGCATGCCTTTTTAACTCTTAAAAAATTATTAGTATCTATACCTATTATTGCAGTTCCCGATTAGGGACTGCCATTTGAATTAATGTGCAATGCTAGTGATTTTGCTTTAGGGGTAGTGTTAGGATAGCGGAAGAACAAAATGTTGCATGTAATTCAATATGCTAGCAAAACACTCACTGATGCACAATTGAATTACACCACCAGTGAAAAAGAATTATTGGCTGTGGTTTTTGCTTTTGACAAATTTCGTTCGTATTTGTTAGGTGCAAAGGTGATCGTCTACACAGACCATTCAGCACTTAGGCACCTATTGGCGAAGCAAGAAGCGAAACCTCAGCTCATAAGATAGATCCTATTGCTTCAGGATTTTAAGTTGGAAATTCGTGATAAGAAGGGGTCATAAAATGTGGTGGCAGATCACTTGTCAAGAATTGAGAGGCCACTTTAGGAAAATGTGGAGGAATTCCCAATTAGAGAAACCTTTCCAGATGAGAAGTTGATGAGAGTGGATGAAGCACCATGGTATGCAGATTTTGCAAATTATTTGTCATCAAGGATGCTCCCAAGTGGTATGACGTTCCAACAAAAGAGAAAATTTTTCTCAGTTTGAAATACTACTTTTGGGAAGAACCATTTCTATACAGACACTATGCTGACCAAGTGATACGGAGATGTGTCCCGGAGGAGTAGATGAAAAGCATTCTACAGCATTGTCATGAGAGGGAAGTAGGTGGCCATTTTGGATGAACTAGGACAGTAGCCAAGGTTCTACAATCGGGGTTTTATTGGCCAACCCTCTTTAAGGATTCTTTCCGGATGATTCAGGAGTGTGACCAGTGTCAACAAAGTGGTAATATTTCAAAAAGAGATGAGATGCCGTTGAACAACATCCTGGTGGTTGAGCTTTTGATGTGTGGGGGATTGATTTCATGGGTCCCTTCTCAAACTCTTTTGGGAATACATATATCTTAATAGCGGTGAATTACATGTCGAAGTGGGTTGAAGCAGTTGCATTGCCGATTAATGATGCCAGGGTAGTGATTAAGTTTGTGAGAAAGCATATTTTCTCAAGGTTTGGGGTACCACGGGCAATTATTAGTGATGGAGGATCCCATTTTTGCAATAGGCAACTGGATGTACTGTTGGGTAAATATGGAGTGACACATAGAGTTGCAACATCTTACCATCCACAAACGAGCGGGTAAGTGGAATTGTCTAATAGAGAGCTTAAAGGCATTTTAGAAAAGATAGTTAATGCATCTAGGAAGGATTAGTCATGGAAATTGGATGATGCATTATGGGCCTACCGAACTGCATTTAAGAATCCGATTGGTATGTCCCCATTTAGAATGGTTTATAGGAAAGCATGTCACTTACCGGTGGAACTCGAGCATAAAGCATACTGGGCAGTCAAGCAGCTAAATATGGATTTAAGAGCTGCTGGGGAGGAAAGGATGCTGACTTTGAACGAACTCAATGAGTTCCGTCTCGAAGCATATGAAAATGCTCGAATTTACAAGGAGAAGACAAAAAGGTGGCATGACAAGCATATCAGGAAGAAGGATTTTGAAGTGGGGCAAAAAGTGCTGTTTTTCAACTCTAGACTTAGGCTATTCCCCGGAAAACTTAAGTCTAGATGGTCCGGATCATTCACGATTACAAGAATTCACTCATCCGGAGCAGTGGAAGTTACACATGAAGAAAAAGGCATTTTTACAATCAGTGGACAGAGATTGAAGCCATACATTGATGGGGTGATGAGTTGCAAATCCATCCCAATACGGCTTGACATTTCGACGTGAAAAATTGAGAGAGTCAAGCTTACTGACTATAAACAAGCGCTTTTTGGGAGGTAACCTAAGTGTTTTAAATTTTTGTTCTTCTATTTTTATTTCAGTGTGTTGAATGTTTTTGATTCTTTCTAATTTGTGTTATTTTGGGTGTTTCAGGTGAAGTTTTCAACTAATGAAAGGAAGGAAAATACTCCAGACTTCGCCGGGGCGAAGAAT